AACAACCCAGAAGACAGAAATCTTCATACTCTGATGACGGAGGCAGTATGACCTCTGAAACGTTGGTAAACATCGACCAGACTACACAGCGCAACAACCCAGAAGACAGAAATCTTCGAATTTGGTTCACCTTATACGTACGTTAGCGTTTTGTGCTCATGCGTGGAAGATCGTATGTTCGAGACTAAGTCAGATTACATGTTTATTATAGCTTGGAATTGTAAATATTTTCAAGAAATCTCCATTATTATTGGTGGTAGTATTTTAAATGTCGGAAGAACGTACCGTTAAATATAATTTCTGACTACGTTTCTTTAATCGGATATCACCTTAAAGTTTCCTGTCGTCGCCGTGCCATACGTAGACCTGTTTTTTACGTGTACATTATGATGTGTTCATACTAGATTTGCTGAGATGGTTTATGGGAAATAGTTCCAACACGAGATACCAGTCACTTGTTTCATCAGCGTAGAGTGGTCCATAAATATGTCGCGCGCATTGAAAGATAATCATGTTCATTTTCGGAAAGGAGCGTTTATGTTCGTCGGCTGCTGTAGTCGGTTCCGTCCCCCGTTTCGTGTTATACCCGTCCAGGAACCCACGTACGTGAAACGCTCCGTCTTCAGAAAACGGTAATTTTCCGAAGAAGTCTTTGTCTTCGCCTGTACTGTTCAGGATTTGTTCACAAGTCATGTTTTGTGTCTGCCACCTTCTGACAGACGTTGTTACACCTGCGCCTTGTAAGGCTTTGACTGTAAGCCCTTTATGGACTGTGCTCTTAGGAATTCCGTGCTTCCGAGCGTCGTTGTTACGCATTCTTGCAGTGAATACCACACCCGCTGCTCATGAACTGTGAATGACATGTAAACTACAGCAGTGGACACAAATTGCATAACTCGCTGTAAATTTATAAAACATGTTGCCCAGCGTAGCCGCCACGGTGGTCTAGCGGTCAGAACACTGGCCTTGTAATACTGGGGTCCCGGGTTCGATTCCCGGCGGTACTCAGATTTATAACTTGTGTTGGGCAAGGCCGTGGTCTAGGCAACACGGAGTTTTCCTCCGTGGCATCCCAACAATTACTCCATTCACACACAGAAGAAGGCAATGGCAAACCACTTCTGGATCATCTGCCAAGAACGTATATGAACAGTTCCCAGTCCGAGAAAAGGATGGAAGGATCCTGTTCATATGGACCTGTCCTCAAGACAGAACACTAAATAAAAATAAAATGCATCACGAACACTATCTAATATCGTTTTGTGGTATCGGATTCATTATTCATTGTTTCATTTTAAGGTATTTTCAACATGCAAACCGAAATGTCTGCGAGAGAAAAATAAATATTTTAATATTCTTAATACTGCATTCCTAATTATCTTACTTACAGTAGAAATACTTGCCCAGCGTCCATTGATTGTTGTCATTCTGTCCAGATGCCTTTATCGTTTTGGTTAAGGACTAAAAATAATGTTTTACCGTAGAATTCCACAGGATGTGATTACGTAAATAAATTTCATGGACTTGAAACGTTTAAAAGTGGCACATTTGTCGAAAATGGCAGTAAAGATTAAGAATGAAATTATTGTGTATCTTAACTGAATGATGAACAAGAAAGGAGATTAACCAAAAGAAGAAATATTATGTTACTGTGGCGTGTGTTTGCAAATTATCAGTAATTTTTTGGGCGTTAAATATGCCTTAATTACTGCCTTGCACCTATCTGGCGTCCACTTTATTAGCTTCTGTAATATGTTTACTCCCAAGTTTATGTTTACACACGAATTATTATTTCCTGAAGTATTCTGTTGTTTGTAGGTTTTTATTTTAAAATTTTTGTTTTTAATAACATGTCAACAGTTCTCTATCAAATTTAGATCTGGACCATTTCCGGTCAGGTTTTATCAGATGTTTGGAGATATTTCTCACCTGTTAAATTTTAAAAAAAATATGTGCGATATTTGTAAAACTGTGTGCATAATTGATTGCACCTTTGGCCCTGGCACGTGAATCGGAGTCTTGCTCTAAAATGCAGTTGAAATTTGACCTAGATTATGGGTTTCAGACATTCTGCAGAATATTTATGTACTGTACCTCTGAGCATTGACTTTCCCCACTTACAGACTCGCCTTTCTGCCTCATTTCACAACCCATCATTTTAAATTAAGCACTTTGCTCAGTGTAGTCATGACGGTAGGTTTCATTACTGTGGGCGAGACGGAATAGTGACTCCAAGGCACCCCCACGTGTTGCGTTTCCGCATGTAACTAGTCAGTTTGCTTTTAAAAATGTTTATTGCTTTGAAATTATAGCAAAAATGATCTAATTTATTTCCCACATAGTGCAGGGAAGTGGGCTGATGTTTTCGGGATAGATTGTAGCGTAATGATCCACCCTCCTCTGGCGGCTAAATCCTACTTTTGCTTTCGTTTGCCGTTAGACTCTTGGAGGTAATAATTTGGAATCATCACAGAATATTACCGAACCACACCGTACATCTGTCCACTTCACGTGCCCTTTGGACCACGCAAGTCTTTTGAAATTTATGGCAGAAGTCAGCAAAATGGCTATCACACTGTTCTGTCACTTGCATGGATACCGGTTTCTAAGTCAGAGGCACAAAGGTTTGAAAAAGCTGCTGTTCCATTTCGTAATTTCCTTTATCTAAATTTATAATTTAACTTTTCTTCGACGTTTTAGCTGTACTTGTAGTTCCATGTCCTGCCTCTGCTTACAGGGAAAGACTATGTAATCGCCAGATTTCGCAGTATGATGAAACAAGATTACACTCAACGATGCACTAAACATTATTTAAATGCAGTATTAAGAAATTTGTATTATAATCACAAATGCCCACGCTGTTACTAAATAAGATGGTATGGAAGGGGCGTTAAAATAGACGAATCTACTACACAGCGCAACAACCCAGAAGACAGAAATCTTCATACTCTGATGACGGAGGCAGTATGACCTCTGAAAAGTTGGTAAACATCTGGCAGACTATACAGCGCAACAACCCAGAAGACAGAAATCTTCATACTCTGATGACGGAGGCAGTATGACCTCTGAAACGTTGGTAAACATCGACCAGACTACACAGCGCAACAACCCAGAAGACAGAAATCTTCATACTCTGATGACGAAGGCAGTATGACCTCTGAAACGTTGGTAAACATCGACCAGACTACACAGCGCAACAACCCAGAAGACAGAAATCTTCATACTCACCGCTTGAAAACCTCGAATCATACAAGGAACTTCTTGGATGGCTGGTGAACGGAGTTTTCGTCCATTTTGTTTGATTAGCTAGTCCTCCAAGGAGGAGGGTGTATTTAAAATCCCAAATAAGACGATGGATCCGACTTCATTTAATTTGAGAAGAACTGCATAGCAGACGGGGTAGGGATCAAGGGCTGTCCAGAACAATCAGGAGAGTCTACACTGTGAGACCATTGAGGGCCCTGCAGGATGAAGAGTACTCGAAAAACTGTGACTGTATTTTCATGCTGTTCAACAGACTAATTACTTTATACAGACTTGTACGCTTTCTTACCAACTGGATGCCTGTTCTTACCGTCCGGGTCATAACAACATTATGCATCCTCAAAACTACAGACGAGCTCTTCAATGAAGTCCCCTTTGTTCTAGTACCGCGATGAAACGAATTTAAAGCTAGGAGACATGAAGGAGAAACTGCCAGCCCGGATTGAATGTAGTCTGCAGTTTGCTTTTAAAATTGAGTGATTTACAGATGTGGCAGGTTTACCTCAGCTACTCGTGTTTGTCAGATACGAGGTGCGATCGGAAAGTTTCTAGACTGCGCCTATAAACACCCGTACACTTATCTCAGGTATTAAATTAATCCATCACCCTCGAAGTAGTTCCCCTGGGAGTGAACACAACGATCCCAGCGCCGCTGCCAAGCCTGGAAGCATCCCTGGAAATCTTTCTTTGTCAGCCTGTCAAGCACCATCTGCGATTCTGCCTGAATCTCTTCTATCGTCTCAAATCTCCTTCCCTTTAGCTGAATTGTCATCTTTGGGAAGAGGAAGAAGTCACACGGAGCTTAGAAAGGAAGCTGGGGTCGGTTCTTGCAAGATCTTTAAACTCCTGACAAACGAGAAGTCGATTCTGCTTCTAGTCCTCTGACAGGATGCGTCGCATGTGGAGTTCTTCCTTTAGAATCAGCTAACAGGTCCCATAGCCTATCCCAACAATGTCGCACAAATCGTTGATGGTACGACGTCGATCTTCGTAACAGTTTCGGGCGTTGTGCTCGAAGATGGTCGTCCAGAACGCTCGTCATCATCGACAGAGGTTCGGCCATTTTTAAAACGTGAATGCCACACAAAAGTTTGTGCACGACCCATTGCGGACTCCCCAAATGCTTGCTTTAGCATTTCATAGGTTTCCGTAGCCGTTTTGGCGAGTCTTTGGCAAAATTTGATGCACACGCCATTCCGAAAGCGCAGGAGGGTCGGTGTAATGCACTACCAAAACGCCCATAACTA